AAATGTCAAAGCATACTGAGCATCTTTCTCTTTGACACCATGTCTGAAATCCCACGTGATCTGTCAAATACTAATGCATGAAAATCCTAACCTCAAAAAAATCACCCGTTATTTCTCTATAATTACCTTTATTTTAAGGTTTCTTCCTCTATCTTCATCTTTACCTTTATCGGTATCCTCATCCTAATCTTTTTCTTTGTATTCCATTTCCGTGTGCAATTTCCATTGAATTTGCCAATTTACTCCCACCTAACTCATCGCCGCTAAAATAGTTTCATTTCAAAAATGGGATTAGAACAGAAGTGCGATAGAAACTTGCAACTTCAAACTCCCTCCAGCATAAGCTCAAACTATCTGATTGGTGAAGCATTTTTGCCACAGTGATATCGGAACCTCAAAACCATGGTGTTTGAATGCATCAACATTTTATTAATCTCCAATTATCTTTGTACGAGGGCCATATCGATGCTCAGGATGGCGTCATACAATAGATTTCAAAGCAGCGGTCTGAGAACAAATCCCTGAGGCACTCCCGTCATGGCGCTGCATTCCTCAAGGCCCCTATCGCTCCCTTATTATTGTTATGATGTATCGTGGAGCTTCCATTTTAAGGAGACTTTCCATTATTCGCTGCCAGCTCGCAGTGTTAAAGGCGTTCTTTGCGTCCAGCATTATTACCGCGCAGTACTCTTCTTTTCCTCCGCGGAACCTTTTGCCTTCGATGACCTCTTTGATAATGTTGACCACAGATTTAATTACGTCTGTATTCGACCGGGATTTTCTGAACCAAACTGTAAGGCCGATAGAAAACCTTTAAGTTATGCGATAGTTATGAGCCTGTTATTTTCTCAAGCGCTTTCCCTTGTGTGCCTTCCTTCTTTCAAGCATGTGTGAAACGTTTTGGTAAATAAGTCCGGCTAGAATAATAACTCGTGTTTGAAAAATTAATTTTACTGAGGTAATAGCGCAGGGAGTAGTGTTCTGTGAAGATCACAGTAAGGGTTAGACGGTCCTGCCTGCCTAGATTTATGAACCTTTTAGAAACTGCTTGTGATGCACAAATAAGCAGACACCGGAGGGGATGTCCAGAGCAGAATCAAGTTAGTGCTGGATATTCCCTCTAGTGCCTGTGTTTTTGTGAATTTTTGTCCGCCTTTTTGTTTATCATTTCGCTTGCGTGATACTGTGGGAGCTTTGTGTTTTGCTAGGCGGTCGGCCTGTTAAGTGCCATCATGGTCCTCACGCCCTGGCACCAGCTCAGTAATACTGTTTTCTTGATTTCAAGGGCATTTAAGACCTTTAATAATTCTGATTTTATTGTGTGGGACTTCAGCACTAGCAAAGCAGTCTGACTGTACAGATGCTTTTTGGAAGCTTTTTCTCTTCAGAGGCATTCTTGTGCTCCAGGATGCTCGATCCGCAATAGATACTTAAAGTTATTAGAGCTTATCTACTAGCCTTGAATTTATTTCATCACCCGTGTGCATTATGAGGTCATTTATGATTTTCTCTAGAGTCTCCATGCGTCACGTCTTATTACCGGTTATAAATTCGGAAGTTCGGAATTCCTTTTGGCATGAGAAAGTCGTGTGCAAACGAATAAGGTTTTTACCGCCTTTTTGATGGTGTCACCCGATCTTTTTGCAAAGCGTAGGGCTTGTTGCATGCGATTGGAGACCATTTGCCTGGTTGATAGCGGTTGATAGGCAAATTGGTTCTTGTTCAATGGTAATTCTAGTATAGTTATGAATATTAGTGTTACTGTGGGTATGTCAGTAGAAACACAAGTATTAGTCAGTATCAATATTAGCGTGATATATAGAAGAATCAGTATTAAAACTAATATTTTGTACCTATATTTATTTTATACCCGAGCGCACTTGTGCACAAGGGTATTATAACTTTGTTCACATAACGGTTGTTTGTAACAGGCAAAACGAATCGAGATAGATATAGACAAATGTATACATAAATGATCATGATAAAAAAAGAAATCGATTAAGCCATGTCTGTCTGTCCGTCCGTCTGTCCGTCCGCCTGTGCACACGATAACTCGAGTAAAAATTAAGATATATNATGTTTATTGTGCTTGCTACATAAAAGCAAAACGATGAAAGTTATTGAAATCGGACTAAAATTATGGCTTTTCATATAACGGTAAATTTTATAAATGCTTGAAACGTCAATATTTTGAAATTTAAGGACGCTAATGTACTCAAAATTGATACACCCCGGCTTACCATGTAGCGGTAGCTTTCGGAAAGGTGAAAAAACATATATTTAATATTTGCGCGGGTATTTAATGTTCGGCTCCGCCCGAACTTAGACTTTCTTACTTGTTATACTTTGTATTTGTAATAAAAGATATTAAGTACAAAGTATGAAGTGAACTTTAAATATGAGTTGAATTTTTAATTTCCACACAATATAGCATGAAAAATGCAAGGACTTTTTTCAATTTCCAATAGTTTAAAATTCCCACCAAAACAAATTTTGCCTAATTGAATTGTAAAACAACTAAAGATAGCATGGCTTTATGACATTTTAATCTTTGACTACAAATTAACCACAACTCAAAAACTAATTTTGGCCCTTCCGGTAACTATGCGTGAAAAATACCAATAATTTGTCATGAATATTTTTGGGCAAAAAATTTACATACTCTACTGCATATGCGCGTTTTAGAGACAAACCAAAAAAAATTTGTACAGTGATAAACACAATGTATCTGTATACAAAATCTAATTAAAATAGAACGAAAAATTCATGCATGAAAAATATCCACTCAGCTTATTCAACTCTGAAAATTCAAATTTCTAATGCAATTTCCGTTAGCAAAATTTGTTCAAAAAAAGGCAGGAAATAATCCTTCAAAAAAATAGGCCAACATATAAACCACAAAATAATGAAAATATATTGCATAGTAGTATTTGCTTATGTGTATAAGTACAGGTGTATGTGCCTCCATATTTAATAAGCGTATGTGTACATGAACACGCAGACAGTTAATACCTTTAAAATACCCGAGGATACATGGGCGCAAGCACTCGTGCAAAAATGTCAAAAATATTAACGGAGATACTTTTTAAATGCTCTTTATTTTACATACATGCACAGGGTGCTTCAAATGTGTAGGTACAGTTTCACAGTAGAAAATCGTACATAGCGAATCAAATAGTTTTCTATACAATTAAAATCTAAACTCGTATTGGACAAAGACCCTCTTCTTTTGTTGGAGAAAATAGCCTTTTACGTTGGGACTTCGGTGGTTTTAATCATTGTTATATATAATATTATTTTTTTTATTTATGTATAAATTTTTTCTTAAGCTTTTCGGCTACAGTTTGGAACGATTTGGAGTACTGGCTTCGTTTGTAACCAAATTTCTGTATTCCTTTAAGTCACTCTAAGGCTGATGGGCCGCAGTGACATGAAGCGAAGTCAGACCATAACAAAGTGTAAGCGTATGAAAGGAAGTTAACCCTTCGGCAAGCACTTCCTCACTATTTATTGTCCCCTGTGGAGCTGTTTTTTCACAAGTGTAACTCAGCTCAGAAGTTTCGAATAGCTAATCAACTCTTAGTTTCAGAGTGGACCAAAAAATGCTCTTAGTGTCAGTTAGTAGATGTAGACAATCAAAGAAGCTTCTTAACCCTAGAATGGTAAATATATTTTTTAGCCCTTTGATGGTAAATATCGCCTATGAGGCTACCTTTATAAACAACGACAACATTTCACCTTTATAAAAAAAAAAAATTTTTTTATATCTGAAATTTGGCACAGTCGTATTAATAGATCATAATATTTTAAATATATTTCCGTTCGAGATATTTTTGTTAACTTTCTTTAGCTTATAGATTTTAGATCAAACTAAAATATTTAAAAAGAATATCATGCCTTTGACTTAGAAAAAATTTTTCCAATACAAAAAACAAAAATCCTTTATTGGTAAACATCGCCTCATAGGCGACACACGTATGAATTTTTCGGCAACATAATGCAGCTGAACAAAAAACGTACTGAACGCAAGCTTAAAGAACACTTAACTAAGTTGACTTTGAGCACGCTTTGAAATGAGATACCGATCTGGAAATATCGCAAAAACAAAAAATTGTTACACCTCACAGGCTATGTTTACCATTCTAGGGTTAAGGAAACAAAGCGCTAGAGGTAACTGTCCAATAGGTACTGACGCCGCACGATTTAAAATCGTCGCATTCTTCACAGCTCCCCAGAGCGTCTCAGAGTTTTAATAAAATTCCATTCCATGTTTAAACCTTAGTCTACACTTATGGTAGAACCAAGATTTTAGGTGCAATTTTTGGGTTTGTGTAAATCTGCCACCAAGCTTTTTTTTTAGACAATACATGATATTTTCAACGCATGCATTGACCTTTTTGAATGCCACCGTGTATAGTACTTTCTTTTTTGTGCAATAGTTATTGGCTAAGTACCGAAATAAAACGATGCAACACCCTGTATCGGTTAAAAGTTCAACAAAATGAAAGTATCAGCGACACCTGAATTTTTAATTGACTATTCGTTTTCGCGGAATTTTAAAGAGATTTATGGATTTGCAAATTTTACAACGAGTTTAGCAGCGACAAAATGTTGCTGAATATTTCAAATGATTTAATATTTTTGGCAGCAAATATTGCAAAGTTTTTTAATATTTCTGAATTGGCCAAATCGCGAAAAAATGCCATACATTAAAAAAAAAAAACAGGTACGGTATAATCGAAGCCTACCATTTCGACTAATTAAGTGTCAAAGAAATTTTTTCGTTGCAGTTTGTATGAAAGTCACCAAAAAATGAATTTGTTTTTATAAAATGCGCGTCATGCATTTCAGTGATTACAAATATTTTTACAAGCGCCATAACAACAGTATCATTCAGCATATAGAAAAAAAAATGGAATCACTTTAATTTTATATACAGCTCGCCCTTTCTCTTTTGCATAAATGTTTTCAATTTCCTTTTTATATTTATTTACTTGCAGTTGCCGCACAGCATTACAGGCGAAGAGTTGGCCTTCATTTTCGGTGCACCACTGGCACCGGCCGGTCCCTTTCCCAGCAATTCGTATGGAGCACAGGAAAAGCTGCTCTCCGAGGCCGTCATGACGTACTGGACGAATTTTGCAAAAACAGGGTAAGCGCCGCAGCAGCGTAAATGCTCTGCACTTATATTTAAATCTTTTTCCTTTTAACGCTTGTGTGGATTTGTTTTTTTTTTTTGATTTTTTTCGCATTCACAAGATAAGATTCTAAATTTTGCGCAATAAATGCACAAATGCATTTTACTTAAAAAAAAAAATCTCCTGCAATAGCCGGTAAATTGAATTTTTATTGCAAATGCGCTTAAGATTGCAGTCTTGTAGAATGTTTGCAAGCTACGGTGTACGCCACTGCGTATGTATGAATTGGAAAACATTTCCTTGCGCCTGCAGATATGCAATTCTTTGTTTGTATGTGATTATGTGTGTCCATGCACGCACAGCTGTGTGTTGGCATTCCCACACACTGATTGAGGCAATACATAGAATGGGATAGAGAAATAAATTTTTATTTTTATTTGTTTGCTCAAGCCATTATACTATGTATGTAGTAGATGTTACTTTTTCGTACTTTGCGAAAATTCTAAATTTCTTTGATGGCCAGTTGTAAGTGAATTTTTCATGATCTTTAAATTTGATTGTATTGCATAGATTGCGCACTGCCGAGAGACATTTAAGCGAACATTAGAGTAATTCCATTATTCCTTGTTTCTTTTATTTCTCCATTTTTTATAGCAATCCAAAGGCTCCTTGGAAGGGTAACTTTATTAATTTGCATGCCTTAGAATGGGACCGCTACGATCTAGATTGGCCTGAATTCAACAAACGTACACAAGCCTACATGAATATTGGTGAGTTTAAACAATATAACTAACAAACTTGTAAGAAACTATTTTAGTCTCACCAATGCTTCCAGATTTTTTTTTTCAAAAAAATTCATACTAAAAGTGTAACGAATGGGGAAATTTATAAAAAAAATTGCAAAAGGCGATCCGATATGCCTAAAGTTTGTATATATCTTAAAGACAAACATAATTTATGTAAGTTATCATTAAATAATATTCTATAAATGTATGCATTTATTTCCTTTCATTTCGCAATCGAAAATTACGTAAAATAAGTAATAATACCCCTGGTATAGCTGAAAAGTTTCTCCTTCAAATCAGTACTGTTAATTTTCCGGTGATAGAGAGTCTATGTGCATCTCTCCTCTCGCTTCAACATACAATGGCCTCACACTCCATAATAAGGTGCAAAGGAGTATACTTGTCAGCGTCACAAAATCGACACAGGTCACTTGAGTAGACTGCTAAATTATACAGGTGAACCCTTAGGCTCAGGCCACGCAATGAGCGGCGGAGCGGCGCTCAAATCCTATCGGTGTCCAAGCTGCAGCCTCTCGGGCCAACTGATCAGCTTGCTCATCACTGTCGCCCCCATATCAGTTGAATATTATTGATCTCAGTCAAAGTACTAACCCTCTCTACAAACTCCAAAACCAAATAAGACTCGATCACGAATGATGAGAGAGCCTTAAGAGCCCTCTGACTATCGCTCGCAATTAGTATCCTCTCGCTTCGATAATTTCTTTGATTTTAATTTCAGCACACAGACTGTTGGCATAGACCTCCGCTTGAAAGGTGCTAGGTATGGTTGCCTTGCTATAAGTGTGAATCTTGAAGTTTATTTTGAAAACCATCACTCTGTTAATGTCATCCCTTGGGAGTGATGGAGTTTAGTGCCAGTATATAATTTAAGGAAATATTCAATGTACCAATAATGTCAGTAGAAAGGGTGTCACAGAAGAGTTCAAGGAGATGAACGAAAGTAATTTAGCCTTTTTGATATGATTTTAAATCTTATAAAGTCTTGAGAAAGATAGAGTTTAAAAAATGGGCCAGCCACGCTGGACTTGTAGCCAGTTTTACAAAAGCAATTGCGGTGAAAAATAATTTTTATTTGAACTCAATATGGAAACTGACAGAAAGGGATAACTTTTTGACTTACGGTAATTTTGGTTTGTACCCAAAAATGTCGCCTTTTGATTGACCCCTTATTCTTTCGTATTCAGTTTTAAAATAACGGCAAACGGTGAGAAAATTTTGTGTTCGTTTCTGAAAATGTCACACTCTTGTAAGGCAAAAAAAGCACATTATCGGCCCTTTGAAGCAGCTTTGTCAAGGGTGATGGTTGCACTGAAAATCGGATAGTTGCATAAAACGACAATATTGTGAATTGCGTGAGCTAAACATGGACAAGAATTTAAAATCATGCGCTTTTAAAGGGTTAAGTGTAACACACTTAACACCGGGGAAGGGCAACATATTTTGGGAGTAACGAAATCACCATTAAAATGCTTTCGTAAAACGGGCCGTTAGAGATTGCAGCTCTGCGAAAAAAATTTGTCGAAAAAGAAACTAAATTAAAGTTCAATGGGGAGCTTTTTTTTATAAAGTAGATGAATATAAGATGGTCGAGAAAATTTGAGTTCAATGAAAAACGATTCCAGCCAACATTTTCAAACCCACTTTTGAGTTGTCCTACAATTTCACAATCTAAGTAAACTGTTTCGATTTTTATTAACCTATTAAGGCAGATTCTATATACACAAATACACATTAAGCGTTCAATTGTGCATGTACGTAAATATGTATGTATACACGAATTTTGTCTATATATGTACGTATATTTGTATATTGAAGGCATTTTCTGTACCTTTAATGCACCAAACTTCATTTTGTAAAATAAATTCCATAAAGTATTTGTATCAAACCACTAATAAGTCATTAATGTATAGGTACTGTTGCAAAATATTTAATTAGAAAATCCTAATCCTAATTACAACATCCTACCAACTGTGAAATTAAAAGCCCTCGATTGTTTCGTGAATTTTTTTGTTTGTTATTTTACAACAATTTATAATCAAAGCCATTATGCTGTTATAATTAGGAAAATGCAATAGAAGATTAATATCCTTGCAGCAAGGTCTTTCCTGCTCTCTAGCACATCATAACATAACTCAAATCGACTGTGAATTCTTGTAATTTATAAAATCCGTAATAGACCATTAAATTAATAAGGATTTGCGAATGCCTAAAAGGGTAGGCATTCTCTCAATAAATTCCAACGCATGCCTGTCTGCTGCGCTGTACAAGTAGATATGTGTATCTTCAATGGCGTTCGTACTATGAAAACCTATGTATGTATGTATGTGCACGTAGATTGCTCATCCACAACTGCAACCGTCAATGGCCATTAAAGCATTAAATATATACTCTTTCGAGGGCAAAGTATTCCACTAATTGGTAGCCGTTTAATTCAATTTGGTTTTCGTTTGTAGAGCAGCGCAACAGGAGGGCTGCATGTCTATAAATGTACTTATGTATACATATTTACGTTTGTGAAGGAGGAAGCCATTTGGTGGTGCATTCCATACTTAAATTGCAGCAGCTTATCTTTTTAAAGTTAATAAATTTAATTCGAATGGATTTTTAATTTTATTAAAGTTCTAAAAAGTATCCAAGCTTCTATAAAAAAATTTAATTTGAGCAGAAAGTTTAGTTAATGGTGGGTTTCTTTACAGATATTTTGTTATATTATATTTTAATGGGGCCACCAGCTGACAAATGGTTTTTTATGGTAAGCCTTTTCTTAGTGGAAATTATATTTATATACATATTTTTCTTAACTAATGATGTTTACAAAAGGTCTAAGTAAGCAGAAAGTTATGGTATTGGAGTTAGTACCAAAAGAGCAGGGGATGGCTCTTTTATTTGTATTACTCTTTTGTTTCATCGCTGAAGGCGCATAAGAAAATTTAGACCAAGTAAACTGAACTCAGCTTCTTTTTTTTTGCTATCGAAAGCGGTTTTAGAATCGACAAAAGAGATAGTGAGTCTCGATACATCCCTCGTCTTCTCCAAGGTTTTCCAGGTTTAAGGCCCTTTTTAGTGAGTTTAATCAATGCATTGACGATGGGGTTAAGACTTTCATACAATGCATCTGAACATTGTCAAAGACGTTGAAGGTTATCCCAGTAGGTACATATGGTTAAGTCATCTTTCACAAGGTCTGTCCAGCAAACTTATTATTATTGTAATTATTATTACGAAAAGATTAAAGATCCAAGATTGTGCTCAACTATAATTGTATTCACTCCAAGACTATTTAAGAAATTAAGCATATTGGATGGTGCCGTGCTCTAGCTAATGGATAGAGCAAATAATCGTTCCCAAAGGGGTATCAGCCTGCGATTTAAAGTTGCTCCTGGAAAGAGTTATGCATTTCTTTGAGCAGCAACCTAACATTCTTCACAACTCCTAAGCTGTTCTGCAGTGTGTCCTTTAGTTGTGCCACAGAAAGGCTCTTGAACAAGCATGCACATTTGGGTCCCACGTTTTGCGAGACAGTCGGCCCTTCCCTTGCCTTACAGCCAGTTTCACCAAATTATTTAAGTGAAAGTTACTTTAATTTCGATTTCACCAATCAATTTTAATTTTGATTTAATTGACATATGCTCTGCACTTAAATAAAAGTTAAATCAGAATAACCACACTCAGAGGTGTTACACGTTTAATCACCTGATCATTGTGCATCTGCTGCTTACTTGTATATCAGCCCTACTTTTACAACACAGCGTGCCAAAGCTTTCAAAAGCTCTCAGTACAAATGAAAGCGAAAGCTAGTCCTAGTCTGTTTTACAACCACTTTTTACTCACTTAAATAAATAGTTTATTGAAACTGAAAATAATTAAAATGAGATTTAAATAAAAAATTAATTAATTTAATTTTAAGTTAATTTCCACTTAAATAGTTTGGTGAAACTGGCTGTTAAAGTCCTTAATGCCTCTGGACCTACTACAGTGTAACCATATTATGGGCTCCCAGGTTTACAAATGTCGACAAGCCTTTATGTCGCTTGAATTGAGACTAAGGCCTTTAGTGCTTGCTCACTAACCGACATAATTTTAATTTAGCCCCATTTGTCCTTCTACGAAAATTTTCTCGAACACAGAATATTATTCTTAAAATACAGCGGCTCCGCTGGCTTGGTCATGTCTTTCGAATGGACACCGACGCTCCAGCTCTGAAAGTATTCAACTCGGAACCCGCCGGTAGTAGCAGAGGAAGAGGGAGGCCCCCACTGCGATGGAAAGATCAGGTGGAGAAGGACTTGGCTTCACTTGGCGTTTCCAATTGGCGTAAGTTGGCACAGAGGAGAAAGGACTGGCGTGCTTTGCTGAACTCGGTCAAAATCGCTTAGGCGGTTACAGCACCAAAAAAGAAGAAGAAGAAGACTTCCTGTAATATGGTTTGGATGAGCCCATTGGCAGACTTTTATGGAATCTTGGTCCAAATATTTGAGACCCTTTGAATAGTTATTATCGCATCACAGCACTCCCTTCCAGGTACTTTGTTCTTGAAGGGCTTGTGAAAGGGTAACTTCGATAGCATTATATCTGTGAACTTGAGTGAGATCATTCTGGATTAGCTTCAGAGCCTTCAAGTGACCTCCAAGTGGCCTGTAATTGGGCAAGTGTTCATAGCACCAGGTGGTTGCCGCATATATAACAACGGGTTTGATGAACGTACTGATGATATTCCCCAAATTTTACCATAAAGACTCTGACAAGCCTGAAATTCCCTAATAGCGTTGGTGGTAACATTCGAGAGATATTAGTTCCAATTGATCCTTTTATTGAGCGTTACTCATAGATATTTATTTAGCCTATTCTAAGAGCTCAATTTCTGTCCTGGCCAAGATGGGCGTAGTCAAGCTGGCTTTCCTTCATTTGGTAAATGGATAAACGGTGGAATTCAGTGGATTTATTGACGTCAGTTTTCCGCTGCAACTGCAGATCTTCATCTGCGCGAAAGTCACTGAATGTGATGACAGCCTCCTTTTGGATGCCTCATGGCACATAGGTACGCCACACAATGAACCACCCTATACAAGTAAGCCAGAAAAAATATTTTATTGGTTCAGATGCTTAGATTTATTTGTAAAAAGTGGCCTCAAATAAATTGTCCTTGACCGGGGATCGATTGGATGACCACAGAGGTCTTTTGAGGAGGCATTGTAGCAAAACGGCTAACTGAACCAGAAGCTATTTTAGAGATATCTTAAGCCCAAATTATTAAATCAATTTTAAAGCCTTACACTGCACGTAAGATACTTTTTCAATTTTGAATGTAAATATCGTTGTCCATGTCTGAACTTTCATCTGTTTCATCTCTCTCAAAAGTTTTCTTCTTATCTTCTTGGTGACTCCCGTAATTTCAGCAAATCTCCTAGCAGTGTTGCCGTCATTTGTTGTGACATATCTAGGTTTTATGCCCTCAATTATTAAGCCCATTTCTCTTTTAAAAAGATATTGAATGTATAAATGGCATTGTGATTCTATAGCTATCTCACTAAGCAGGTGGTGTTCAGGTGACATTAGAAGGAATACTATTGCTCTACGGAGTACAGCCTTTTCTCAAGTTTGTAGCTTAGTACTCTGTATAAAACTCATCCCTGATGATCAAATAGGCGTCCGTTGCTGCGTATTTGGTTTACCATTCCCTGGGGTGAAATTCGTAATTTAAGTATGTCTGCACATCGGTCGCTAATTCACCGTGCTTTTTATTATGGGAATTTGCTGTGGTCTTGAAACTGTATACCCGTAACTCATATTAACACAGGACAATTTGATATCATTATGGACTTGATTCCAAAAATAATAAATGCCTTCACAAAACTAATCTGATGAATTCTCTCAGCTTTTTTCTTCTAGAGACGCTTACAGCCTCCCACATTACTGCAGCGTCTTGCTGGCTGAGACCTATTCCACGAAGTTAATAACATTGAGTAACCTAGCTCTATCATTTCCGTTGGAGTTAGTTTGATTCCACAATCATATCTCTACTGGGAGCTCGAGTAGGATCTCAAAACGAAAAGTTCGACTCCCCATCGGAACGCTAACGAGAAAGTGTATTATGAGTCACATGACTTACATGTTCCAAGCCCTATAAGAAGTTATATAGGATTGGAAATGGTAGGTTCTATTTAGCAATAATTTTCTGAGGCCATTTACTAGGATTCGCCAGAAAGTGGGAGTGGTTCGATTTTAACACCAAATGAAACATGCTGCATAAAGCATACTGTGCGAATTATTTTAAAGCTAACTGTTTCTGCGTAACGTGCCTCATATTTATTTATTTTTACCATAAAGTTTTAGAAATAAAAGTTTATTCCAAAACTAGAAAAATTTAACAAAAATTGAAAACAAGTATCTGAAAAAAAAAATAAAAATTTAGAAATATAGAAAAAATAAATTTTAAGAAAAAACTAGGTTTTGGAAAAAAAATTCTTAGATAAAAATTGTGTTTTGAAAAATTTAGTTTTTAGGAAAAAGAAGTATCTAATTAAAAAATAAATAAAAAATATGCAAAAAAAAATACATTTCTTAGACAAAAATATTTTTACTTAAAGTAGAGAAAATCATGCAAATAAAAATAAATTTTTTTGTGCGAAATTATTTTGAGGAAATCGGTTTGTTAAAAATATTTTTTTCCATTTCGCACTTTCAATAAAAGGTTCTCATTGAATTCAATTATACGCTACGGTACCCTAAAGGAACAAACCCCGCACCAGATAAATTTGCTCAGGGTATCGTAATTGAACTATGCGGCCTCCCAATGAAATCTTAATGCAAAATTATAGATCAACATTTTACAAATCAAAACAGATTTTAACTATTAATATATATTTTATTTGTAAATGTCAGATACTGTTTACTCTTATTTCCTGAGTCATCTGTACAAATGGTTGACTTTTATATTATACTTAACATTTTACTGTGGAATTCCCCACCTACACAGCGTCCCTTTCAATAGAGCAGTCGTACTTGGGCTCTTCATTGCCAAGAGGCTTTCAGTTTTTCAACTCAGTACGACATAACCCAATGAAAGAACTCTCGTCTACTTCATACTATATTTGTTCACTTATTTACACACACACATAAGCACGCTCAGGCATAAGCACTCACAAACTTCTTCATTTCATATTCGCAGGCATACCACCATCGATTGGCTACAAGTACCGGCAAATCTACATGAATTTCTGGAACAAAGAGCTACCCGATGAACTGAATCAAATCGCAAACATACAAAGACAACCGTATTTGCATGCAACCGTATACGATGGAGCCAACGGTGCTATTGCAACACAGCATCCACGCGGTGGAACAACTGCCACAACGCACAACACATATTCGATGCAGCGGCATGGCAGTAGTGGAGGTGGCAGCGAAGTAATAACCGGGCACATGAGTCAATTTGGCACACGTGATAATGGTGCCGAGGATCCGGTACGCACACTGAAACTGTTACTTCAGGAGCCATGGAAAATGGGTGGCAGCAGTGAGGCAGGCGCCAGCAGTACGAATGGTGGAGGCGTGGTAGGCATGGAAACTTTGGCGGAGAATATGTATAATGCGCCACCGACCTTTGGCGTAACCAAGCATGCGGATGATGATCAGCTCTATGCGTTAACCGCCGCAGGTGGCATGGGTGGCATGGGTGGCATTATTGGAGTGCCTGGTGCGGGCTTCGCAGTTAGGGAAAATGCTTTGGGTGGTTTTACTGGGCTCGGTGTTGGCACTGGTGCGGCATTGGCTGGCGGCGGCAATGCAATTTATGGTGTGCCAAGAGCGGAAATTACAGAAGATGACAATGGTGGCGGTGGTGGCGGTGGTGGTGGTGGTGGAGGTGACGCAATTTACGGTAGTGCAGGTGATGCTGCAGGAAGTGCCGTAGGAAATGCCGCAAGCATTGGTAGTGCCAGTAGTGCCGGCAACAAAGAGGAAGTTGCCAAATCAGAGACGACAATACAACTGCTCATCGGACTGATTGCCGTTTTTATAGTGCTCAATGTCATCATCTACTCAACCTTCTTGCTGCAGAAGAAGAAGAAGGCTCACAAAATGCAACGCAAGCTAGGCGGCATACTCAGCTATGATGGCACTACCGATGATGAGTTCAAGCGCTCAAAGCAAAATGACGGTGATGAAAGCTACATACTGGATATTGTACGCAAATCGAACACATATGAAGCGGTGAAAACGGAACGTTCACCCATCAACGGTTTTCAAATGACACGGCAGTTAAGCACATCGACTGTGGATGCGCACACAAAGGTATGCGCTTGGATGTCGGCTGCCGCAGGTGCCGCCGCGGAGGCGAAGGCATGTGCCGGTGGTGGTGGTGCCGATAGTTCCAAGGGTGGTTCAAAGAAATCATCATCGCCCACATTCTCTTCGCTACGCAGCAGCAGCGCCGGTGGCAGTTTCAAACAGCCAGTGCAGCCACAGAAAGTGAGTGTCGCCGTGGATGCCACACCACAGACGCGAAGCAGCAGTGTGCTGGAGCAGGAGCCCATTGAGGCGCTTAAGCTAAAAGCGGATGGGCGAAATATAATAATTTGCCAGGAAGTGGAGGTGGTCGATCAGGAGCTGCTCACGCCACAAAATTCGCTCGATAGCTCGCGCTATACGCTTGTGCGTCAGCACTCAGCTGCCACCGAGCCGTGCGAGGCAGAATTACCACAACAGGGACAATTGCCGATATACAAGCAAACACCGCAGCATGCGCATTCGCATTCCGACCCCGTCGACATGCAGCACTATTATAGCAGCTTATGCGGCGCCACGACCGAGCAAGATGAGAAGGTGACCAGCTTTGTGGGCGAGGATATAAATGTGACTAGTCGCGATGACGACGACGCTGCAGCGCTCGCGCATGCACTCACACCTGCACAGCAACTGCAAGTTATTAAAAGTCGTAATTATCCAAAAGTTTTACCCACAACGAAAGCAACCACCACAACAACAACCAACGCTGATGTGAAATTTCTTGCGAGCGCAGACGATTCACCACCTATGACGCTCGATTTGCGCACCACCAACAAACGCAATTCACTGCCGCCCAATAGTTTTCTTCCACATTTTGGCAGCACCATGGGCGGCAGCGTGGGTGCACGCTATCCGCCGTTGCCGCCACCTCGCACCATCTCCACACTGGGACGTAAGCCTTCGCAGCGTCGCAACAGCAGCAATATTACAACATCGCCGCTGATGTTGGCACACGATTGCACAGCTGAGGAAGAGGAAGAACCGCCAATCACGCAGAATACGCTTATTGTGGGCCCCTTAATACCACAGCAGAGGCAAAAGATGTGTGGCGGCGCTGCTGATGCTAATTACTCGACGCTTAAGCGTAATGAGGCAGCCACAACCGACAATGCTGCGGTGGTCTTTAATAGCCTGCCAAGTAGTAGAGTGGAAGATGCAAAGACGACGCAGACAACAACAGCAATGCATAGCATATCTGGCGCGTCATTAGCGCCAACCAACACTCAAATCGGCTCAAAGACGCCTACGTTTACGACAGCAGGTGTTACGGGCGTAACAACATTCTTAAGTAGCGGCGCTGATGCTGGCCTACAAAGCTTCGAAAGTCGGCCAATTTTCTCCGTGGGAGTGGACGATAAATTTCAGCAACAACAACAACAACAAAATGAGAAACAACAACCTACACATCATACAGAGCGGGTTTACGCAATACAACAGCCAGCTACAGCTAATTTGCTAGCCATGCAAACAGGAAGCCAGACAGGAACAGAAACAAATGTGACACCTACCTTAATTACAGCCCCAGTAATGAATTTGACAGGCCATCAAAATGTTGGTGTACACAACAATTTTCCTACTAAGAGGAACAACAGCAACAACAATAGCAAGGGTATTAATGCTGACATCAGTGACATTTATGCGCAGCCCAACAAGTCGACCATTAAAGCAAAAACAAATTTGACAGCGCCCAAACTGAGGGCGCCGGCTGAGCAATCGAAAACAACACCAGCAACCAGTGCAAATAATCCCTCAGCACACCAACAAAAAACATCTACAATCGGTGCAATAGCCGCTTTGGCGCGATTACCGGGCTACACAACAACAGCCGCTGCATCACTGAAGCCAATCGCTACTACCGATGGGGCAACAGCAAAAGCAAGTCAAATGGAAACAGCAGCAACAACGCAGTCTACTGAAATGTCAGCCGCCAACGTGGATGCAACGCAATTGACAAATAGTGGCGTCGACAAACAGGTGACAGCTATGAGTATGCAAACAATGGAATCACTGGCAGCAGAAGCGACAGCAACAGCAAATCCGATAGCTTTAGCTACAAACAACACAAAAGGAACGGCCGTGGGAGGAGGAGGAGGCGGCGGAACAGCAACAGCATTGCCACAAATGCTTGACAAAGCTGGGGTTGGCAGCTTACAAGCACAATTAGATGCCCAAAAACAACAATCGCAACAACAGCAGCAAAGCAGACTGCTATCACCAACATCGACATCAACTGCCGCAGCAATGGACAAAACAACAACAATGACAGCGCGCGTTACACCTGTCAGTTGCATGTCAACCATCACAACGGCAGCAACAACAACAACTGGAACAACGACGACAATAGCAAATGCCATTGCTGCACAATTGGCACAAACAAAGCCTTTAAAAGCAGCGCTGGCGGCAAATAATTTCAGAGGGGCAGTAGTAGCATCGCAAACATCGATACTTGATGGCGCTGACAGTGGTGCAGCTAGTGCCGCGCGTGATTCCTGCCACAGCTCAGTGTCAACGAGTTCTGCTGGCTCTAGTGCGGACTCTACATGCTCATCAGCCTCCTCAGGCTCAGCAACATCTTCCAATGCTTCAGCGGCAACTGGCACCTCATCCACTTGCTCGTCATCATCGTCCACGGGCACTGTGCGCACGGAATTGAAACAAAAGTAATTATTAATTGTGCGAATATCGTGTTGCAAGTTTTCTAAAATCATATTTTTTTCTGTTATGCCCTTTCTATTTTATATATCTGGACAGCTTTCATGACCTTCTTTGCTTGCTGTAGTTAATGAACGATTTACCTGCTATACGGGCATTCCATGTATACATACATACGTAATATAGCTACTACACAAATATAAACTGAAAACGTTCAAACGATATGTTCCGCAGCAACACGGAATACTCCCACAGCAGCTACATTTTGTAATGTTTCTGGTTCAATGTCTTTCGCTTAATGCAAATGAATGTTCCAAAATAACCTTTCTATTAGTCAGTAATTACTAAATTTAGGCCAGTTTTTTTTTATGGATAAAACTTAAAATAATTTCACCATTTCGCAGACCACCGCATCTCCTTATCCAATTTCTTCATCTACTTCAATGGAATTTTAACCAACGACTCTGGCGTACAAAGCTGTTGGTCAACTGTGTAAATTTTGGTTGTTTTTTTTTTGCTCTTTTGCATTTTAAATAAACCAATTTATTAGCATTTGAAATAAGACTTTCAGCTCAAATTGGTTAGCTGCACCTAAATGAGGGTGTTCATAAGTAACAACAAAAGAGAGGATAGGTAGAAGTATTTATGGTGGAAATTAATGATAATGCCAAAACATAACCTAGAGCAGTGGAGTCCAACCGAGTTCGCACTGAGGACCGGAATGGAATGGAAGGGAATTGTAGATGGCCGGAAAAACTAAAAAAAAAACTTTTCGAAACACTCAAGCAGTATTGCAAATTGTACTTAAGGCCAGGAGATAGGATTTAGAGGAAAAGGATATGTAGGTGGGGGTGAGAATTCATTGCTCCTCTGCAAACTTACCAGACTCCTTTATGAATTTCAGCAGTTTGTTAAGGGCAAAATAATGCACGTCGTCCATTCTCAGTACATCCGACCCAAAAATGTACCATCTGAGTGTGCCGAAGGCCGGAAAGTGGCAGTGAAAATGTTCTCTACTATCGTCTTCCTCCATACACGATGTACACAGTGGTTCGTCGATGATGCATTTAGTGACCATATGTCGTCCCCATGGATTGTGCCCCATAATCAGTCCTACCAAGGATCGTAGATAACTCCTTCTTTATCTGGAAAGAAAATTTTCTACCACCCTGTCAGGCCTTTTCAGGAAACACTTGGTTATTTTGCAGATTTCAATAGTTCACCAACGGCCCCCATGAGTTTTGCTTATGAGATCCTTGATGCACCGGATCGTTCCCGCTATGCTTGGCCCTTCAATTGGCTCCGGTCCAATTGGGCGTTCCAGGGAACCGCAGTTCGCCAATTCATCAGCCAGTTCATTGCCTTGAACACCGTATTGTCCTCGCACCCACATAAGTTCAAGCTCATTCCATTTTGTAACTTACATTCCTGGGCTAACTTTGAAGAGGTTCTAGCGGTTTTCAGGATCTTGGCTGTCACTGCACATCGTGATTTTGTGTCCGCGCCACCTTTCGCCAGTTATCCGGTCTGCCACTTTTACTATGGCAAAGACTTCCGATTGGATTTTTTGTTATAACTTCTCTATTTATGCAGCTAGAAACATGAAATTTCGGACTAATTTCACTCATTATCAACAAAAAGTTTATAGTATAAACGACAAAGATCGAGTTACTATAACCTGTTTATTTCATCCATACAACTGACTGTTCAGATATCGGTTTTACTGTAAAGCTCCCTTACTTGGACAGCTAAAACCGAGAAATTTCGAGAGCTTTTTTTGCATAGTCATATAAAGACTGTTTCGGTGCTGTATAAGCTTTATCATTTACGTATATATTTTTCTATATTTCTCTCGATTTGTGTTAGCTGTCATAAACAACCGTTATGTGAACAAAGTTATAATACCCTTTTTCAAAAGTACGTTCGGGTATACAAATATAAAAAAAAATAAATAATTTTATTCAGTTAGTTCTAAAAATTAAGTAAATGGGACCATAAACACGGGTTTTCCAAGTATCTTGCTTCCTGCGCCACCTATCAGACAAACTTATACCTTTGTATGTACGTAAAATGCATTCAAAATATGAACCAAAATGGACCATAAATAGGAGGTTTTCAAATATTCCGAGAGATGCGCCACCTAGCGGATTAATTCTTTCGTATTACATTGTCACAGGAAACTTAAAAAAAGCTTTTGAAAAGGATAGAAAAAATTAGAGTTTTAGTACCTAATGTTATATAGAATATACAAATCTATATATTTATCAATAATTTCTTGATTCACTACCTTTTTCTTGATTCACTACCTACATAAAAAAAAAAACTAGTGAACCCGCATGGCGTTAATACGCCCAAAATTGAATTACAGAAACTTAAAAAATATTCCAAATGTTAGTCAGAGTTTTGAGAAATCCGAGTGCCATATTTCATCAAATCCGTGCAGCCGTTTCTGAGTGAAGAGCAGTCTCCATCGAATTTCAAATCCCCCTATACCGGTGAAAAAAGATCTTAGTTAAAAAAATAAAACTTTATCATAGATCTACAGGCTAAGGCCTCTAATTTGACCTCTCATTTTTGAAATTCCTTTCAAAAGTATTATCAAAACAAAACCTTCTTAAATCTCTTCCATCTGACATTGTGATACACATGTTGCAACAAATGGCAACCCTCTTAATAAAGGTCAGGAATAAATACCTTTCAAACCTATTTCGAGATATACCCATCTTTTAATAATTCATCCACCGTACTGAATAATTTGAGTCTAGCTTTTTAAACACGTGGCAACTCTCTTCAAATGTTCGAAATATTTAAACTAAAGATTTCTTAATATTCTTTCGTTTGACTACGGTATTTTTGTATTCCATATACTTTTTGTATTAGTTAATTCAAACAGGTGGCAGGCCTCTTCAAAAGTATATTCAAGCTTAATCATTGTTTACTCACCTTCGTGGGACACTGCGATACATCTTTTAATTAACTGATGAATTAAGTGGAATGTTAATTTTTAAATCTGTGGCAGCCCCGCTAAATAGAGTTCAGAAATAAAAATTTTCAAACCCCCTTCGATTGATACCAATATTTTAATAATTCATTTAACTTATAAAATAATTTGAATTTAACTTTTTAAACAGGTGGCAACCCTCTTCTAGCACATCCAAAATATTGCTAGCGTTCAAACTAAAAATTTCTTGAGACTCCTTCGTTTGACATCTATATATTGTGATATTTCGTATAACTTGTGAATAAGTAAACTAAAGTCGACAGTTCCAACAGTTGGCAACCCTCTTAAAATATTTATAAACTACTACTTTCTGAAACTCTTTTCGTGTGTCACCCATATGGTGATGCATATTTCTCTTGTCTAATATTATTTTTTTAACAGGTGGCAACCCTACTATAGTTCAGCTAAGAAGCAAAGCTTTTCAAAAATATTTCGTCTAATACCCAGTTTGTAATAATTCATTTATTTTTTTAAATAATTAGAATATATTTTTTAAAAGGTGGTAACTCTTTTCAAGAAAGGCTTTCAGTTTGACGCCTCATTTGATGGCATTGATTATTAAATGATTTAAATTTAATTTTCTAAAAGGTGGCAACTCTTTTCGAAAAACTAGAATCAGTTTGCACATCTACAGACCAAGCGCTTTAATTTGACAGCTCATTTTTGAAAATCGGGCGAGCGATACAGATCTTTTACCCTGAACAAAAAATACCTTCGCGTAATATATATATAGATATATTCTTTTTGATTTGTTTTCATTTCCATTGCAGGTATATTCCCTTGTAATCTTAATTAATCCATTTTCCTTACAACTTGTGAATTTGTAGCATTCAAATAATTACGCCAAGATTATTTAGGTACACCACCCGTCAGTTTGCATTCTTCTTATTAAGTAAGCCAATCGCCCACCCTTTTGCAATGTAAACACAAAATTTTTTGCTTCTTCAGATGGTTACGTTGTTAAAAAGAGTACATCGCAATTCTGTGACAATGAAAGTCTTTTTTTTTCTTGATTTTTGATACACGCATTTATTCTCCTTTTGCATACAGATCCGAAAGCATGGAAATTCGCATGACAATGTTTGTAGCTACTTTGCATAGTTTGCGATAGAATGAGCGCCGCCGCCCTATACCACTTGACGAGCAAAAGCCCCAACACAGGCACACACAACTACAAGAGCATAGTGGTGCTACGAAATTTTGCTGTCACAGCAAACAAAATTTATTTTTCGCAAAATTATGTTATTTCGTAAATTGGTTTTCAGTGGTTTCCGCTCCGGAACCAAAAAACTGTACACACAAATACCGCCACAACTATCGGTGCCACAATGTTGGTTATTGTTCCACTGTCGCTGCCGATACCGCTGCCATTGATGGAGAAAAGCAGCAATTGCTTGAGCAGTGTTGTTGCTATTGGTGCTGGCGATAATGCTGGCATTTTGTTGTTGCTAGTTTTGGGAGTTGCTGGCTGCTGTGTTAGCCCTCCTTACAAAACATTTTCCTATGAATATTATAATAGTATATTTAGTTTGCAAATATCTATGTATGTATGTAAATAGTTATGTAAAATTGCATTGTGTTTGGTTGTATGCGTAGGTTTGTAATATTTGGCGCTGGTGGCTGGCAAATGACTGCGAATGATTACTGGGTGTGGCTCGGTTGAATGACAGAGTTTTCGTATGCGTTCCAAGTGTTCATACGATTGTGTATATATGTAGTTATGCTAGTACACTAACCCACTCCTCCTCCTCCTCCTCCTCCTTTGGTTGTTTCAATCCATTGGCGCAAATTGCCCAAAGCATTGAACGGCAAATCAGCCATTCTTCAAACCGCATTCAAAATTTTACGACATAAACTAAATTTTCAAAGTTTTTTGTCATCGTCAACTATTTGTCAAGTTGGCGAGGCGAAGCCCACAAAGCCCACTCACAGACATTAGGCCAGTCAGTCAGTCAGTCGGTTGGTCAATAAGTTGGTCTCGAAGTGAAGTACCGAGCCAAGCCACTC